TCTCTCTCTCTCTCTCTCTCTCTCTCTCTCTCTCTCTCTCTCTCTCTTGATGCATTTATCTTGAATATATTTTATGACAATAAAACACATCAATGTATGTGTTTTGAAAGATCAACAAATCTCAGATGGAAAATCCATTGAAATCAACTCAGTTATGGTCTGTTCGTTCTCTCTTCAATTTTTGTTTGTGCGCGCGCAGGTAAATTTTTCCGTTGTGTGTAGTGAACAAAAAGAAGCAAATACTCTATTTTATTCGAGACTCATTTTTTCAGAGTTTTTCTTCTTCTTTAATGGGAAAGATAAAACAGAAACCCCGCTTAGTCTTTTTTTTCTTCGTCTTCAGTTCTCTGTGCATCGCATTTTGTTGTTGTGCAAAACGGAATCAGACAAAAAAAAATAACATCAGCAATATACAAATCGGTATGAGCATAATGAACTTGGATCATAATCCGAAAATAAAACAAGTTTTACTATTTAAGAGCATATCTCAAATCGTTGAGAATAAAAATTCGTAGTAATAATGCGTAGTAAATTTTTTGTGTGTGAGAGCGATGTAAAGAAAAACAAATCATGGAAATGACGACGAGAAAAAAAAACTTTGAATTGGAATCATTGATTTAGAACAAACGCATGAACAAAAAAATGAGATTTTTTTTGTTAGAATATGGCACACATATAGGATCATAATGCTCGGAAGAAATATTGATTTTTTTCATGACTGTCAACGCGTATACAAAAAAAAAAACGTTGAATCGATTGAATGAAAAAATAAAAATGTTAAATGTTCGAACTAAAAAAAATAAATGTCAGCCCTAACAATGTGATGCAGAAAGCAAAAGTGTGGCCTTTGTCATGTGAGATTTCACTTTTTATAGCGTAGAATTTCGTTGAAAATATAAAATATCACGTAACACAAAACGATAAATCACATGGAATTCAGGATGAAAAAAAAAACGACTACTTGTACGATGAAAATTTGAATTTTTTTTAGTACATACCTTGTGTGTATTGACGACATGTGATAGTGTTTGGCAGCATAGCATCGGTTGATTTTTGTCTTCGTTTTATTGTTGCTGCCACCAGGAAATCGCATCCAAAAGTTCATCTTCGTCATGTGCTGCCACATTATTGTAGGAATCGTACGTTTCGTATTTGTATGTTGTTGGTAAAATATAATTTGAATTTCCGACCGATGAATTATCGGAGGAATACGATGGTGTTGGCGATGCTGATGATTCGGAACATGGTGGCGGTGGTTGAATGCATTGTACTGGGCTTGGTGAATAGTATGAATTACTTGATGTCGATGATGAGATTGAGTTCGATGAAGCACTTAGCGATTCAATATCACTGTCATCCAAAAGTCCTTGCAAGCGTCGAATGTATTCAACAGCCAATCGCAATGTATCCACTTTGCTCAATTTTTTACTAGCACCACGACCACCATTTGCCAGCTTTGTTATCACATCAGATGGAATATGTTGCCGTAAATTATTGAAACCCATATTGACTTGTTTAACACGATTACGTTCACGGGCATTTCGACGTTGAACGGAAGCTGGTTGGGTTGCTGTGTATGCCATATGTGCGTATGTCATCTTTGATTTTTTGCTGTTGCTCATTGTGCTGCTGACACGATTTAGCTGATTGTGTTCGGCAATTGATGGTGGTGCTGGAGCGATCGGTCGTTTGGCCATTGGAGCAGTTTGCATTTGATGATGTGGTTGTTGCGAATGCATATGGTTCATTTGTTGCGGGTGCTGTTGAATTAATGTTTGTTGATATTGTTGAACGTAAGCGTTTTGGTGCATCATTTTGTCGATCGGGTTTTTTGCACTTATCAAAAAAAAAATTGTACTAAATTTTTAAAATCACTTTTTTAAAAACTATTTAAGCGAAGAGATTTAATTTTAAACAAAAATAAATGACGTTGTCGACACTTTGTTGATCAAACACTTTACGTGATTTTACTTGATATATTCTTTGAGAAGAGTGCGCAGTGTTAACTTGTTGAGAGTTATCCACGGAATGAAACCCTTCGTCGCGATACCATTGATTATGTACTATCGCTCACTACCTGTAGTAGCCTGTAAAAATCGTTCTGTTCGGTGCGTACAGTGAATGTGACGATATGTGTAGCATACACATTGCAATACAAAAGCACGCTCCTTTTTCTACCTTTTGCTTCTATTCCGTCGTCCCCACTCTTAAAGCGCACTGTATGAAGTACAGTGTATGTATATCACGGGAATACACTGAACTAAAATTCGATCGAACGGACGAGCATACGCATAAAAGAGATTTGTGCATTTATGTTGAAACTGCCTGTTGCCTGCTGTGTACAATGCACGCGAGCAAAAGAGAATCAAAGACAAAGTCCCCTCCAAATTGTATGCTTCTTCGTTCATTTTCCCTTCATCCATTTTCGTCCCTATGCACGATCTTCGTTGTGTTGCGTCGCACGCAGCATCAGGCTTCAATCTATTCTGTGCATTAAACACAGGTAGTTTATTATGGTGTGTCTGTTTCGTATGATCGTAAAACGAACACCGAGCGGATCGTTCTCATTGTACATTTGATATAGAATGAAAGAATGAAAAAAGAATCGGGGCGCATGTGCGCCTCTACGCTTGTTCAGTTCACTCGTACAACGCACAACGATCAATGAAATAAGCATGGTGAGTACGGCGTGTGTCGAGTAAATGCAAAAGCGCGTGCCATGAAAAAAAGTCCGCTTGGCGCATAAAACATATACGGGTAAAAGACACAGAAGCGTGCAACTTGATGATGATGACGGCTACGCTTGAATATGTTTTGAAAAAAAAAACGAACGCAAGCTGCATCTGACTGCTGTATGCAACGCACTGAATCGTAGCTCGTGCAAACAGTACACAGATTGAAGGAGAAATCATGGATTTTTGATTGTGCGGGTGCATACAGATACCAATACACACGTAAAATTCCAAGCAGATGCACAGGGAAATAAATGTTCAGTTATGACAAGTCCTGGCTTATGCCAAATAACGATAGAAAAAGAGAGATATCAAATCATTTCTGATTGGGAACATTCTTTGTGCAGCTGGAAAAAATACCAACACAAACATATCGAACCACATATATAAATGGTGAACGAACATAATAGTTGCTTTCAATGGCTTTGATTCAAGTTGAATTCAACTGTATGCCATTGGTAATCTTCAGTACACGTTCAATCTACAAGCAATGCACTACCATATGAATGCATCTTTCACTATGACCCGATGAATATTTACGTAATTTTTAGAACTGATCATTTATATTTGATCGATTTCATTTATGTTATCCATTATTCTGGCACTGGTATATTACTTTTTCTGATAAAAATCCGTTTTCTAATTTTACTCACTTGAATTTTGAGCGTTTTTTTTGTGGAAATCCAAATTAATTTTGCTTTCAATGTGAATTTTGATGTATATGACAAATTTTAATCAAAACACAATTGAAGCTTGCATTACAGCAGGCATTGAAATATTTTTGGAAATATTGAAGGCTATAGAATCATTCAAAATTTGAGTTTGAGTCTACACCGAATTTCTGTTCATTTTCGATAAATTTATTTTTCATTTATATTCTTTGATTTTGAGTAATTTTTATTTCGTTTTTTTTTCTTCACAACTAGGATCATTTTCAGTATAAATAAATTTAGTAATTATTACCACAGCATACATGTGTAGGGGAGACTTTCAAGTGAATACATAAAACAAAAAAAATGTTTACGCAGTTCTAAGCGCAGGTGTTCGATCGCGCGCTTGTTATTTCGGGTGCACTTATTTCGACTCTATATGTTTTATTTTATAGCACTGTATCAATTAATTTTCAGAAAACTGCTCTTGCTTTCATTAAGTTTCTTCATACATCAATGAGCTTATTCACTCGATTCATTTTCAACCTTTTTTCTTGGTTTGAAATTCGAGGGGTTGTCAAACACAATATTTCGAATGTTCAAAAAAAGGACACTTTCTCGTTATCGTTGGCTACTCGATCTAATTTATTTGTGTATAATTGGAACTTGACGACGGCATGCCCGAAAGCGTTTTGTAATTTTCGGCCTTTTTTCGCACTTAAACCGTGAATTCACTTCCGTTCGAAAAGTGAAAACTGAAGCATGACAAGAAATTATGCTACTGCTCATGTTTTAGCCTTTTTTTCCATAGGTCATAGTGTCCTTTTTCATTATTCATACGATTCCATTTGATATTGTCCAGTGAATATGTAAAGAATTTCAAGCAACCGTATCGCCGGAATGCGAGAGCAAAAAATGCTTTCAACCATGATCCTTGCACTACAACACAAATATGCAATCGACAGGCCGTAAAATGTAAAACTCGATTTCGTATCGATGCCGTATTTTAATAGCCTGAAAAGTAACATAAATTCCTGTTTCAAATGTGATGCAAATGGTAAATAACATTTCAACCCTTGTAAACAACATTTCAAAAAATAACATGCAAATGTAGACATTTCTTTAAATAAAATGAAATTCACGGAAAAACACATTATTCCGATCGACTACTTGCGAATTTGTTTTGCAAATCCAAAAATAAACGTGTGACGCTAAGAATAAAAAATAAATAAATATCCTTAGTTTAAAAAAAGAGTATGCACAATTGGTTTCTCTAGCTGAGAATGAGCTGAGACGAAGAATGCGAATAATTGAATAATCGAAAAAAAACGAAGAAAAAAGTGTAGTAATGACAGCTAATGGCGTGAACTCCGTTTGACCCGAGACATGCGTTTCAATTTAATAGTACATAATCATGTTTTGGCCGCGAGTCGTTCGTTAATGCAAAATAATTGTGTATTTAGTAAACAAACAATGCATTTTCTTTTTAGCCGTACGCATTTCACCGCTTAAATAAAAATTCGTGAACGAGCTCATACCCAGTCGATTATGCTACTGTCGCCGAACAATCAAAATGCATTGGTTCTGGTTCATGTTTTCACACCCAATGGTGCACCGTGTGCTCTACTGCACACAAACACGTGTGACGTGCGTTGCATGCTGTGTCGAGTGCAAAAGTAATTTGTATTTTTAACTTGATAATAAGATTATTGTTATTATTTCAATTTAAATTATATTATATGGCATGCGCAACGCTTGATCGTGACCTCCTACACTACACACTTGGCTATCGATTCTCTACACCGTTGCCGTTGCTGTTGTCGGTTCGGAAACGTGAAATGCTTACTGAAATTCAATAAGTTACACACAAAGCATCAATATCAAAGTGCTTCTTTCCACATGCCTGAGAGTGTTCATGCAATTTAGCGGTAACCATACAAGTCAACGAAGAAAATGAAGAGAGAGAAAAAGCGGCCGGCGATCGCAGTGCCTTTAGAATTGCAGTCGAAAATCGTGCAAGATCGAATATTACGTTACCGATCGTGCACCGAATCTTCATAACTATCCATTACAATGCAAAGCATGTTTCCATATAAAACACATTTAAACACATGTTTTGACCATATTTGCTGTGAATTTACAATGAGAATTGAGCGCGAATACGCGTTTCCATCTTCATATGATATATGTGTGTATATATGGTGTACGCAATTACATGCACTTACTTCCACGCATTTGGTGTGTATTAAACATGTACAAATTGCGCCAACGTCTTTTTCTCTTTCTCTCTCTCTCTCTCTCTCTCTCTCTCAATATCCTCCGTGTTGCATTCAAATACGAAAGCAAAATCTTAACTATTGTTATTTGTTTGTTTTTCTGTAGTGGCCACGGTCATTATTATGCGGTGTATTTTCTACTGTACAACAAACTCACGTTTTACTTTCATTTCGCTTTTTATGTACGTGCAATGCACTCAACGCTTCTTGCTTCAGTTGTTTGACGCGATGGTTTGTTAGTGTTGTTACTTTTTCTTCCGTAAACGATTCTTCAAACAAACAAAAAAAATGTTCTTTTTGATTCGTTTGCTTTGTTCGTTCTTCACGGCATGCACAAACACCAATGAATGAATCTGACTGCATGCATAATTGTCTTCTTAGTAGTGTCGAGGTTATACACATTTGTTTGTTCAATGAATAGCGGTTGCAATGTCAATATTTACCCAACATACACTTCTCTTAGGCCGGGAATATTCATTCGTAGTGGACGACGAGTGGTGCACTCGTCCGACTTCATAAATTGCTTATGATGATTTGAACTGTGTATATTCCATAACAAACAATCATTGTGTATTGTTGTAGCGCGATGTAATAATTTAACGCTTTGTTTGTGGAATTCATTTCGTTGGCACGCGTTCAAATAGTTTACACAACGATAAAATTAGATTTGAATACATCGTTGGCGCACGTTTATTATTCACTTCTGTGTGTTTTGTCTTACATGAACATGACCTACGATTACTAGTATACACACTCCCTCATTATTCTTAAGTACGTTTTCGTTTCCCCGAGTTCAAAGAAGAAAACCGAGTCGTAGGTTTTGTATGTCGAATAGAATTAGTTTAATAGAAAATATCGTTTGGGTAATAAACGTAACGTTTAAATGAAGGTCACATTCTTATGCATCTTATTTCAAGTGCAACACTATCGTTAGAACACTTGACAAGTACAAGCTATTATTTCGTCTGCGGTTTTATTTAAGTCAAATCAGATATAGAGATTATTCGTAGAACTGGAGAGCACTGTTGTTTCAACGTCTTAGAAGTTGTAATTAAAGAAAAACATTTCGTTGAAGATAAGAAAAATGTTCCATCTTCGTTTGTGCTTTGGAACAGCTGATCACTTTCGCGATTAACTAACGAACCTTAAAAAATTGGACAGTCTTCGAAGGAGATTCTCTATGCCACTGAATCTGATCATTATAATTCGATAAAAACTCCCACTAAGAAAAAAAAAAGACGATACCAAACATCTTTTTGAGTTGAATAAGGGCGATTCTTCAATTTCTCACGGCTGAATTGAAAAAGTTGAAATTGAATTCGGTGATAGTTGCACCGACACGTAGTTATCTAATTAATGCGACTTACATTCATTTATCTTGTT